AAAAAACCCTACACAACAACTTTAAAGAGTACTTTTTAAAAATTATTATTTTATTTCTCAGTTTGTAATCAATTCTCTTTTGTTACTGGAAGTCTTGCGGTACAGGAGCTGGAGTTAAAAATCATAAATAATACTTCTAATGTGGCTCAAAAGTGGGTCTGTGATGATATTAAAAGTGTCAAGAATCTCTGAGCACATAAACATGTGAAGTATCCATTGTTGTAGACTTTTTGTCTTCGGTTCCTCAGGATTACCGTCTGCGAAGGAGATAGTTTGTTTTTGCTGTTTACAAATTAATTTGTTATTTTGCTCTATGTCAAACTATTGGATGGAAGTGTGTAATTTTCACAGAAGTAATAGTTCTGTGGAATAGCAGGTGATTTAAAAAGTAACCAGACAGTGGGTACAAGAAAGAAGTCCAGTTGTAAGCAAAAAAATTAAGCAGATATCCTGTCACACAGGAAGTCTAAAAATATGAGGGAGAGTGAGTGGGTGAGGTACGGTTCCAGAAGAATGAAGGTTGTGTGGTCAGAGGGTCTGTGATCTGCCGCAGCAGAGCTCTGTACCTATTGCTGTCTGCTACCTGTTGGCTATTGACGGGAAAGTTCAAGTGGTGTCTCCTTCAGAGGTGCTGGGAACCCATTTAGTTTTGCACAGAGGTAAAACCTTACTGGTAAAAGCAAGTGCGTCTTGTATTGGAGAAGACTCGCTTACTCCTGTACATCAGCTATTGAGAGCAAAGAAAGGGGAGGAGAGCGGGAGAAAAGTAGGAGTTGGAGGTTTACTGTCTTGTGCCAGGCTGGGAAAAATTACATTTAAGAGCCTGGAGTTGGGAAGGGGAAAAGAGCAACTCTAAGACTGGCTGTCAGATTTCTGTTGTCATTTGGTGAGGATCAGGAACTGTGGGAAGAGGATGCCTGAACACCAAGATGAGTATAATGAAAAGGTGGTATGAAGAATAAGAAAAAAGGAAGCAGCTGGACTTGTATTTTTTTAAATCTTCAGAAGTTTCTGTTGAAACAGACAGTAGGTTTGGTTTGTTTGTTTTTGGTTGCACAGACAGAAGACTGGATCAGGTGGGAAGAGGTTGTTGATGGCAAGATGTAGCAGGCAGAGGAAGGAGTGAGAGTCGCAGCTGACTCTGCTCATGCAGCGTCAGTGGGACAGTGAAGAGGAACAAGGAGCAGACAGCACAGGCACGGTGCAGCATTTGCTTTCTGGAGGGACATTGACAGAAAGTGAGTTTTTTTAAAAAATAAAACCCTAGCTTTTAGGGGGTCTTGGCATATGGTAACACCCAGGGAAGCAGATTGCTTGAACACAATGGTTTGTCACTTCCAGATGGTGATGAGTCTCTATTGCGAGAGTCCTTGCAACGATGTCTTTAGCTGAATTAGCTGCGACTCCCCAAACTGCTGTTCTGCTGAATTCTCTTACCCAGCTGTTGCGTGGTCCTGTGAGATCTCTCCAGTGTATGCATGATCCATTGCTATTGATCATTGTAAGATAGTGAGGAGGTGTTTTCTGTGTAATTTAGTCATATTCAGACAGCTGTCTTACATAACTGTTTTGGCAGATGCCATTTCTATGGACTATTTACAAGTCTCTTTTGTATGTACTATTTAGCCAACTCTGTAACAGGACAAGCATAGGGCAGTCTCTGGAATAACAAGATTCTTCACCCGTGATGTGAATCAATACATTAAAACACAAAAAATGCTCTAGGCACAGCAGGAGCTGACTGGGGGAGATCTTCTTCAGGAAAGTCCAAAAATTCCTGTCCAGAGAGCTTTTGCACCAGTTAGTAAAAGCTCTGTTGTAAGGAGGCTAGGAGTTCAGCCAATACAAGTCAGTCCATTGCCCCATCCAGGGAATCAATGACTTAAATGTCAAATAAAAATGCCTTGGATTTAGAAAAGGCAGCTGAAACATTTGTGAGGGTGTTTTGGCTCTTACGAGAGTTTGCTGTACATTCTTCGCCTAATTGCCAAAAAGTCTGTTTCCTAGGTAGGTGAGCTGCTGAAGAAAGTTGCATTATTCAAGGACAGCCAAGTTAGCAACCATAATAGCATCCAAACATTCAAGTTTTCTTTGTGTGTGAGCTAAACCACAGAGATAAGAATGTCTAGGAACCACTGCATGACACATTAAGTACTTTGGCTGCCTATGTCATAACTAGAAATCCAGACAGTCATAAATCTCCTCATCTGTGTCCCCCTATGGAGCCCCCTTAATAGTTCTACTGAAGAGAAAACCACAGGATGTTTTTCACAAAAGATTTGTCTGTCTTATTTTTGTGTGACTGTATTAAAAACTTTTGCTGTCTTATAAACTTTTGGTTTTGTAAACCCTTGTAACTTTTACTGTCTTGTCCCCCACAATTTTATTTCTGAGGAAACTAAATGTTCAAGATCTAGTCAAACTGAAAACCGTATGGTTTATAGTAGCAATTTTATTGGGCTGTTGTGGAGATGCTGTTTAATGTTTTTTGCTGAGTGTACGCAACTCTTCTACTTTACATTTAGTAAAGTACTGTATGTGAGAAAAATTTTGAGAGTAAGATGAGTACCTGGTGAGAATTTAGATGAACTTTAAGTTGTGTTTCATGATGAAAAAGATGTTTAAGTGCCATGTTTAGCATATTACTTGTATATACAGTTCTGCTGATAATTTATGTCAGATCTCATACTTCTGTATCTGAATGTCTTGTAAGAACAAACAGGGTAGGGAACTACAGAATTCTTCCTGAGGATAAAAGATCAATAGCGGTTTCATTTGGCTAATCGGTGAACCTAAAATAATCTGGACTTCTTGCTATATTTTCCAGGAAGAAGGTTTCTATAGGATTTTTACATTAGCTTTTTTATGTTCAGCTCTGCATTTAAGTATCTAATATCCCAGGCATACAAGGCAAGAAAGCAGTAATATCAGTGAAAGCCATTCTTCCCATGTTTATCACTGAAAAAAAACCAAACCAGAAACCCCACATATCTCCCCCTCCGTTGTTCATCTTGGATACTGGCTTTCCAGGTTCCACCTGATCCAGAATCATGTCGCATCACACACTTGGGACCTTTACTGAAAACTCTTTAATGACTGCCACCCATCTGCCAATCTACCTTCTTGGTCATTTTTTCAGAATTTTTTCCACAAGACCTCGTGTTTGCAAAGCACTGATGATCCTTCAGCAGTGGCATCCATAGATTTGGTTTCTTCTTGCTTCATTTTTGCTCCTGTATTCTTACGAGCTTTCGTTTAGCTGTTGACTTCTGCCTGCAAAGTTGTAGAGACTGCCAATGTAAACAACCTCTCTCATAAGAATACTGCCAAATCTCTTCCATATTCCCTTTTAAGTATAGTTTATAACTTTAATCTCCAAGTTTCATATAAACCAGGATAACAATCTGTTTCTTCCCTCTCCAAAACCTCTTTCTTTACGGGGCTGTTGAAGACTCACCCTTTGGAGGTCAGGTGTTCATGCCTTTTTTTGAATAGGATGAAGAGTTCAGAAAAATGCCTTATCTCTTCTGATAAATATGCCTTCTCATCTCAGACTGTCGACTGGGCAGAACTAATGAGGCAGCAAATGAAAATACCACTAGGGATCAGGTTATGCACTCACAGAAGGCATGCGGTTTCAGTGGCATCTGTACAGAGCACTTGTATTTTTGAGGTTTACCTGCCTGGTTTTAGCTGCCCTTCCACTGCAGGCTGTACCGTTGTCCAAAGTACAAAGCATGATACGTTTCTCTTAACGGAGCGGTGGCAGTTCTGGTAGTGACCTCCTCCACGTAACCTCTGTAAGTCAGGAGCTTACTGCTGATGGTCACCCGTCATTGTAATGTCCATGTCAACAGTTATTGGAAGGAGGTTACCAGCAGTTGCTTGCTTCGGAGATGTTTGTTCTGTTCATGTAAATATTCACATCTTTCCTTCTACCCTGGAATTCTCCTGGGAGAGGAACCTACTGGTAGTGTAGGGTGCCATTGCTGCCAGGCATGCTCAGGAAGCAGCGACACGGCTACCCTGCTCCATTCCAGCTGCAGTGACTCTGTGTGCACGCCCACAAATGTGCATAGAGATGACAGACAGCAATAAAACTCTAGTTCATAGTGAATGATAAATGACTTCCATTTTTTATTTTATGTGAAGTTTTGTGCTGAATTAATCTGGCAAATCCATTAGTGACCTTGTTAGGAACAGAAGTGGCTGCTATGGCACGTTTATACCAGCTCGCACTGATTTGGCACATTGCCTGCCATACTACAAAAAAGACAGATTTTTCTTCCCATTACACGTAGTCAGTATGGGACTGATGGTTAGGTATCTAAGAAAGATACTAGCTATAGCAAGATGTCCTGAGCTCAGGGTACATATGATTCATAACGATGGAGATGTGTTTTGCAATTGAGCTGAGTTTGTGTGCTTGTAGGGAGTATTCCTCGACTCCTGTAGTATGGTAGAGACTTCCCCTCTCCTATCCAGTAGCAGACAGGGCTGTACCTTTGGACAGAAAGAAAGGAGCACCTCCTGTCAGTCAGCATGTGTTTCTGCGGAGTATTTTCCCTTGAGAAGAGAGAAGGGTATTTACTCACTAATATGCATGTTTTCCTTCTCAGTATTGAGGGAAACCTAGCTGCTGATCTGTTAGGGTTATTCTGATTATCATCTCGCATTCCAAGGCTTTTGTCAAGGAGCTTACGCAGCAGCCAGACAGCTAGAGTGAAGGCTGCTGAATACATTGTAATCTGAAAGTTTAGAAATATTTGCTTCAGTCTGTAAAGTGAATCTTTTAACGGCAGCTCTGCTGACCACTTGTCGACCGATAATGTTGGAATAACATTAAAGTTACATTGCAGACTAATTATATTTCTTTTGGTTTTGCACAGGTCAGTTTTATTTCTCCTGTTGAAAGTGATGTCTTTTAAGTTGTTAATGTTGCTTTGAATTTGTTTGCTGAGTCTTTTCTGACTTTCCTACAATGGAAATCTTTTCTTAAGGGGTTCTCTGGAACTTGTCTTCATGTGATGCAGTAAAGATGACAATCATTAGAGATGCTCTATCAACGCTAACTAACACTGTGATAGTGCCACATTCCGGATGGAACAGTTCTTCCTTCGATGATGATCACAAAATTAAATTTCAGACTTCCCTAGTTCTACGCAATACTACAGGATGCCTGAGGTAATTTGCTGTTCTAGCAGACTCCCTTTTACAGACTAATCATGTTATTCAACAGGTCTTTTTTATACTGTAATAGTTAAGACAAAAGAGCTGTTGCGTTCTATAAATTACATGTAGTTCTATGACTTAGGCAGCTTTTGCATTTGGGGTTTTTTTTCCCATATTAGAAAAATATGAAAAGTACAAAGTTAGTCACTGAGAGATGTTAACTATAATGGCTAGTGGTTACCTTTTGGTTGTTTTTTGTATAAATTATAATCATTGCACTTTTCCCCTATTAATTACTGCAATTTTTGTATTGTGTGTTGGGCTTCTGAGTATTATTTAACAAAAGAATTGTGCATTTGGTTATTCTTTATTGTTGTATACATTTTAAAAATCATGTTTGTATATGGCTATGTATCAGTAAAGAAGTGTTCGACTATTCCCTTTGTAGATTTCTCAAACAGCAGTAAGGAGGAAAAAAAGTATTCAGAATAATAAAAGGCAAAACTAAAATATCTGGAAAGAGAATTCAGGAGCTGGGGTAGTATATCAACTATGTTCATTTGTAGGTTGTTTATCATTTTAATTTATTATATTTCAAACTGTGTTCCATTAAACAGCAGACTAAGGCCATTATGTTTGAACAGAACTGGGATTGCTTTTTATTTGCTGGTAACCCTTCTAAACTTCAGAATATTTTCATAAACTACTTTGTTGTTGTTGTTCATTGGGTTGTTTTGCACTGCTTTTGAACATAGGGTTGTGCCAGCATAGTGGTGCCAACATTTTTTTCTAGAGAAAAAGCACCTCTGTGGCCAGGCACGGTGGCATTTTTTTAGCAGCAGTCCCATTTTCAGTGTGCATCCAGTCTCGGTGTAAGCTTCGGGGCAAGCTTGAAGGCAAATATTTGTGTACATCCTTTGCTGCTATTCTAAAGCACAGTGCAGCCTTTTCTTTTCCCCACGCTCCAGTTTATACATTTACACATTTATACTTCAGTTGACGTAGCACTATTACAAATGTTAATGAGGCTGCACCACAGAACAGATCACTGAATGGATCCAATTCAAAAAAGGGGCAACAAAGGGTATTTCTAGCACACAGACTCAGCAATCCATCCCACAGCACATACCAACCATAGATTTGGGCATGGACAACAGAGAGGGCTTGGGATGGAAAAGTCTGTGGGAAAGGCGTTCTACTCACAGCCAGTTTTGTCAGTGAGTCCTTCCTATCTTGAAATTGCAGTTTGGAACCGTATTTATCTTTTCTAAGAATTGGGAGTGGGGTGCTGCACAGAAGGATATGTTTGCTTTTAACTTCTCAAAGTCAGTTATCAGTCAGCTGTATAAAAACCCTCCACAAACTATGTAATGAAATGATGGTGTGCGTGTCTGTCTGTGAATACACTGTGTTCCTTTATCATTTCAACCCTTTAGAAATCTCAGCTCCGCAGGTGAAGAAGCACGGAAGCAGATGAGGTCCTGCGAAGGCCTGGTTGATTCACTGCTATACGTGATCCACACGTGTGTGAACACATCAGATTATGACAGCAAGGTGCGTGCACATTTCATTGAAGTGAGTTTTAGTGCTAAGCTGTATGTCTGATAGGATCTTTTGGGGTTTGTACAGTGTATTTTAGCACTGTGATGTGCTTAGCTCAACTGGTCTTCTCTCCCAACCCCAGTTTGCTGATGCACAATCAAATTCTGTTGCATAATACAGTGTAACTTGTTCTGTGCTTTTCATTTTCATCAGTGCTGGAGTATTCATTCTTTAATACAATAATAATAAGCTCTTGTGCTTTTCATTTTCAAAATACTAAAAAATAAGCTGCTATAGTAGAGATTACTGTTACAAATATTCCGATATTTGAGGATATCAGGAGAAAGATTGCAGTTTTCCCAGAGAAACAGACAAAGGAATGCCCAAGGCCCAGAATTGCAACTTGGTGCTTGTGCTCCAAATGCCTTTTTACCTCTGCCTAATTTGTTTGGTTTGCTTTATCACTATGTGAGAAAGTAACCGATTACATGACATCTTTCTGGTTTACTTTCAGACAGTGGAAAACTCTGTGTGCACCTTGAGAAACTTGTCTTACCGTCTGGAACTGGAGGTACCTCAGGCACGTTTGCTAGGAATCAATGAATTGGATGACTTGTTAGGAAAAGAATCACCTAGCAAAGATTCAGAGCCAAGTTGCTGGGGGAAAAAAAAGAAGAAGAAAAAAAAAACTTCACAGGAGGATCAGGTTTGCCATTGTCTTTGTATTACAAATATATCAACTGTAGTTTAGCTAATGATGGGGGGGAGTACATAGCTTGAAGAAAAACTACATATGTTGAATGAAAATATAGAGGTCTCATGTGGTTACAAATATATGTTCATTTCTCAGTGGGATGGAGTTGGCCCTATACCGGGATTTTCCAAGTCTCCTAAAGGGGTGGAAATGCTATGGCACCCATCTGTGGTGAAACCGTACCTGACGCTTCTAGCAGAAAGCTCCAATCCAGCTACTCTAGAGGGCTCTGCAGGATCTCTCCAGAATCTTTCTGCAGGCAACTGGAAGGTATCTGAGTTCCTACTCTTCCTCCTATATCTGTATTTTAGACGGGTAAATTGGTACAGTTTATTTTAAATACACACTGGAAGAAAGCTTTTTTCTGTTTATTAGGTCAAAATAATCTTCTAGCCTCTTCTAGCTGTGAGTTCTGGTGTGAAGATACTGTCAAAATAAGACCAGCATAAATAAGTTGTTTGTTTTATTCTTTGTATTGCTTATTTCCATACGTTCTTGCTTGTGGCCCTTGTATACAATATGTTACAAAAGCACCACGTGAGAACACTTTATTAATGTTATATATTTGTCATGGAGAGATTAAAAAAAAAAGTTAATTGCTTCCTTTGCTGTAGAAAAGCAGCTAAGACTTTTTCATTTTATGACCATTATAAAATGGGTCTTAAAAAAAGACAAAAAACCCCAACAAAAAAACCCAGAACCTGTTCCCTTTTCAATAATTTGTCATCTATTAAGATATATTGTCCATTAGACCACTTTTTAAAAATATTGCTTTGTAAGAGGAACGAGTGAAAAACAACAGAGTGCCAACCCTTTATAATAGAAAAGATGCATTTAACACATCATCTTTTCTTTGGAAAATGTCCCCAACATACTTCAAAATTACCATTTAGTAAGAGGTTATTTCAATCAGAATGTTGTACTATGTCTGTAACTGGAGTTTTATTATAGTTCGCAGCGTACATTCGAGCTGCCGTAAGAAAAGAAAAAGGACTACCAATCCTGGTGGAGCTGCTGAGAATGGACAATGACAGAGTTGTGTCATCTGTGGCAACGGCCTTAAGGAACATGGCGTTAGATGTTCGGAATAAGGAGCTTATTGGTGAGTACAGGACTGTACTGAAGAAAACAAGATTACCAACATGTCACACCTTGTGTGGAGAAAATACTAGGATGAGATTCTACCAATAGAAACAGCATACTTGATTTTACTGTATCATGTCAGTCATGTCACAGAAATTCATCTTTTTGACAGCAGTAGCTTTTCAGAGTAGTATTGACATTTTAGTTGGCCTTTAGCCATCTCGCCTGGCAATCTCTTTACAAGGGATGGAAGTCACCTCAGCTAAACTAAACTGGACAGGAATCTATCAGGACAAAATATGATGGAAAACACAACTCTGCTTCCTTGGAGCTAAATGGTAACCTTCTCAGAGGGTTTCAAGGTCCCTTACATATCCTAGGAGGATAGGACAGCTCTGCTGCCAGTACATCAGTAAATACTGTAATAGTATTGGGTAGGGAGAGAGGGAAGAAATCTTCTCTTCCACGAAAACCCAGATATAGAGCAGTATATATGTGTCTTTGCTGAAGTAAGTAATCAACAAGGGTGCTTTCTAGAAAATCTTACTGTTTCCCTTTTGTCAATTTTAATGCTTAATACTTTAAGTATTGATCTGTTCCTTTCTCATCTAGCATTAAAAAAAAAAACAACCAACATTTTTCCTGCCTTGATCAGGAATCTCAGTCTATTATGGCAAGAGTTGAACATGCCTCAGCTTCAGAGTGCTGTGGCCTAAATGAACCCTGCTAACACATGTCATGATCTAAAAAAGTTTCATTTTTGTTACAGAAGCTTTTTCTGTGTTGTAGGCTAGTGGGATAAGTGTATTACAACTGTTTATACAGATAAGAGTATCATTGTTCTCAGAAAGATAAATGCAGGTGAACAGAATTGTGTTACATATTTCTGAAGCTTCTCCATCTTGGATGTTCAGAACATGTTTTCTGGCAGTGTAGGTATTACCTCCACAAGAAATTAATAAAAAGAAAATTCTGTTCCATAGCACAAGCCATGTACAGGTCATACTCAAGTGATGTTCTCTTTTCAGTATTTTTTCCCCTTCCTGCAGGACTTTGCAGTTCAGGAATGCACCTCCGCCTGTTTCCTCTCCCTGTCAAAGCCTTAACGATGAAAGAATTGCTGCCTTTCCAGATACACTCTGAAACTCACCTTTGTATAAAATATTTTGAGACATGAAGTGAGTCATGTATTGCCCCATGCTAGTGATCTGTTTTATGCATCTTTACTGCTGTTGGTAGGGGCAGGAATAATGGGTTTAAATGGTCTAAACTCTGAAGAAAATAAGAGATTGAGGACTCAAACCAGTAACAATATAAATTGGTATGTGCAAACACGTGTTCACGAGCTTGCTGAAAGATTGGCAGTGACAGGGTATTAATGTACACAGCATTGTTGGTGATAGTTTTCCAGTGCGTTTGAAAAGTTGTTCCTTTTGTTTGCAAATTCCTTTTTTGGATACTTTTTTTTTTTCCTTGGGTACGTTACGCAAATAGATAGCTAGTGGCTTTGTGTAAAGCTTATTCGTTATTCACTGTTATGTAAAAATACACATCTTCAATAAAATCAATTAGTCGTTCAATTAAGGGCACAGCCTAAACAGGGAAAAAAATTACTTAGCTTTAATTTCCTTTGCTGGGAGTGCGAGTATTCCTGTGCATCAGGCAGTAATTGAAATCTGAAAGAGCTGAGACCTGATTTCTTATGGGTAACAAATGCGGTGAACAGCATGTCTGAAAGAAAAAAATTCAACGTTACCGTAAGGATTTCTTTAACCCTCCCATAAATGAAGCCTAGGAATGTGCACCACTCCTTCAGTCATAACAGCTTAACATTTTTCTTTGAATGATTCTGCTTTCTCCAAATCATTCCTGTTTACAAATGTTCCTGTTTTAATGTAAAAGTGCAACTATTCGCATTTTTAAGCTAAAAGGAAAAAAATCTCTCTTGAGTCTGTGTAAAATGTGAATTCTTGGAAGGTTTCCATTGTTTTGATCCTGTGTTTTCTTTTTATGGCTTTCAGATGCAGTTTTGTGATGAGTCCTAGAATTTCAAATCTTGAGTACCAAAATGTATTTTTTTACTTGGTTCTGTTGATGTGTTTTTATAGGTAAATATGCTATGCGAGATCTGGTCAATCGACTTCCAGGAGGCAATGGTCCAAGCATATTGTCTGATGAGACGGTAGCAGCAATCTGCTGTGCTTTGCATGAGGTCACTAGTAAAAACATGGAAAACGCCAAAGCCCTTGCTGACACTGGAGGAATAGAAAAGCTGGTGAACATAACAAAAGGAAGGGGTGACAGGCAAGTAGGCAACAAAGTTCATACCTAAACTGTTTCTCTATTCCATTTAAAATGCTTAAGAATCCAGGAAATGGTTTTTTTAGTACAAAAAGGATCTGCTTTTGCAGTCCTGATCTGAGTAGCTACCGAAGTCTGAATCACGCTGGGAAAGAAGAGGCAGTCGGTAACACCATTCTCTTAGGGTGTATTCTTTATCTAAAGCTTTTGGAGGCTTTTAGAGTTGCACGCAGTAACCACATCAGTGGGGCCTATTCAGGTTAAATGGTATTAAAAAAAATTGTCCCCTTTTAAACACCTACAAGAGTAATAGAATATTTAGAGCTTTTCAAAGTGAGGATATGTTGTTAGCACCTTTGTCAGGACATATCACAATAGCTATCAATTATATTTGACATGGCCATTCGATAGGTTGTAAGGAAGACTTGGCCCACCGAGCACTTTACCTCGCCAGTGGGTTTTTATCTTGCAAAACAAGTGTTGATTGAGAAGACCTGGCTGCCTGCAGACTTATTCGGCTATGGCTGTGCCACCCCCTGTGCTAGCGGTTTTGTTGGCCGAGTTCAGTGCAGGGCTTGGCTGGGCACTGTGTTTATGAAGTAGTAATGCAGCCTTTCGGAACTGGACAGCTGAGCATCAAGGAACAGGAACGTGTAACGGCTCCCGCGTGGTGCAGGGTCAGCACGAAGCCAGCCTCCTGGACCCCATCCGGCTTTGGCCAGCATCGCTGCTCTGTACTCCTCAGCAATGTGACTGATGCAAATCGTATTAGCAGGACTCTTGTGTAAACCAGGATACCCCCGACCTCCTTTCTGTGGGTAGCAGAAAGCCCTGGGTACCGTTCCCAGCGGTAAATTAATCAGGTGTTAAAGGAGAGAAAAGGATCTCTTCTCAGGGAAGTTGGTCAGCATGAATTAAACATACTGCATTTTTAACAAAGTCTTTGTCTCACAAGGAACTGCAGGCCATATTGTGAGTAGCCACAATTTATAATACTTTATATGTTCAAGGGACACAGACTCAGTTCAAGTGCAGGTGTGAATGCAGTGATCCTTTATATGGCCTCATTGATCTGTGGAGACAACGTGTAAAGATGCATCGGCACTTAGATTTGAGGCAACAGGGTATGCTAAACAAATTAAAATCCTGTGACCATTTTAACAGTGCCTACTGATAGATTAACACTATCGGCTCCATTTTTTTTTCCAGTCTTTTCTTTCAAAAACTGTATTTGGATGAATCTTCACAGTGACAGAAAAAGGCATATGTTTAACACAGATTTCTTGCTGTGGCATTTCATGTTAAACCACTGCTTCAGTACCACTACCAGCTTACCACCATTTCTCTTTAAAAAGACAGCTAGAGCAGTTTTCCTAGCCGTGCACTTGAGAGTGGAAAAGCGTTTTCACAACCAGTAAGTTTTCTGTAGTGCAACACAGAACTGAGAACAAAGTCTTGCTACAAGGATGTCTGGGGACTTTTAGTATCAGCTCTCTTTTATTTGTTTAGTCTTTTTCTACAGCTAGGAATTTTGTACAATGATTTAAAGTACATAGTCTCAGTTTTTATGAAATGCACTAAATAGAATGTTTCTTTTCATGATTTTTAATTCTTGCAAACAATGACAGCAGCTATCTCAACCTTTCTATCTGTATTCCCCACGTGGGGGACCTGAAGAGACATTTTCTAGGCCGGAGAGGGAAATGATCATGCTTAATCAGGTTCTGCACCTGCCTTTTGTGGAGGCTGCTGACACAGCTGCGTTCACACTGTGGTAATGCAGGCAGGCATTACTGACCCCTGGAGAGATGACCTGCCTTGCTTCACAGCATCAAGGTTTAAGCTGTTATGTAGCTCAGGAACATTGTTCTTTAAGTGGAAAAAAAGTGGCTTTCTAATATTGTAATATTCTTTACTTAGATCATCACTGAAAGTTGTCAAGGCAGCCGCCCAGGTACTGAATACATTATGGCAATACCGAGATCTCCGTAGCATTTATAAAAAGGTAAATTACAAAATTAGCTGACACTGGAAAGTAGTTCTACAAAAACTCTTAATTTAATGAGAAAAGCTATTTATTTTGATGTTTTTTTCTTTTTGCCACTCCACAGGATGGATGGAATCAAAGTCATTTTATTACACCAGTATCAACACTGGAACGAGAGAGATTCAAATCACATCCTTCTTTATCAACAACAAATCAGCAGATGTCACCTGTCATACAGTCAGGTCAGTCAAGAAATGTAAAGAGATTTACTGAAAGGGTACCTGGCATCCCATTTTTTTAACTCGGACAGCCTCTCAGTTACTGCTAATTCTATCTAAAACACGGCGGTCATGCTGTCTCCCCTCTGTATTTAAACGTAAGTACTTCATGTACTGTGCGTGTTACCTTAGCTGTTACTGTCGGCAGGCTTCAGGTACCACAGGATTGGTGGATGTCTCTACATTAGCGTTTTAGTTTGGATAAGGAGCACTTTGAAGCAAACCTGCCCACTTACTCCTTAATGCAAATCAAACAGCAGTCTCCGAACGTGTGAACTGTATTCCCTTTGGATGAACCGAAACCAGATGGTGCTTCCATGCACCGGTACACTCCAGCTGCGAAGAGCGCTCAGTCCATGGCACCAGGTTAGACAGGGTGCGCGCCTGGACTTTCTACCAACTGCTTCCCTCGATAAAGCCACTCCTGTGGTGCGCGGCTTGGCGTCGTAGAGGCAGCCTCACACAACGCGGGTACTTGATAGCGCAGAAAGCAACAGGCTGATAGTGAGGAACCTGCTTTCCTTCCCAATTATGTGATGTCCCATTAGGATGAGCAAGACACTTGGCCTCTAACAGTTGTTCTCGTTTCAGTCGCTCAATTGTTAACACACGCATTACATTGACCTGTGTCAGAATTTCAATAACACCCCCAAATTTAGCTTTTTTAGCCGTGAATATGCCAGGATCATATCAGTAATTAAACCATCCATAATAACACAAAATTGTGACATAGGATGTAATGGACACAGCTAATGGAAGAAGGTATCATTGATTAATATTTTGAAGCAAAATTTCTAGAAATTATTTTTAAGTATTTCTATCCTCTGTTACTGGAGTCTTTCTAAGCCAACAAAACCTGAGTGGTCTGTAAAACAGGGAAGATTTAGCAGAACAAACTTTCTACAACTACAGCAGAGATTCAGCTGTTCACTATAAGAATATAATGTAAGTAATCCATGGTTATGATCTTGTGATGATTGTCGGCCAACTGGAGCACTAAATGTCCAAGATGCACTTCTGCATGCTAATCAAAGAACAGTAACATGAGTGTGCACATGGATCACTTCAGCCAGGCAGACTAAATTTTTCTGTCCTGTCCCAAGTGATAGGATGGACTTAAAGATTCTGTTGAAGTATAACTCTACATAAAATCACAAACATGAGCAGGAGTATCATCTTCTAAATGCAAACAAATTATGTCATATGCAAACTGAAATGGGTGAAGTCTCTTATTTCAATTGTAAGCATTACAGAGCAGTGACTCACCATTAAATATACAATTATAATCTCGTGGTATGTTGTTGATAGCTTTTGTCATTGAGGTTCTCCATCCAGGAAGAACTATGCACCAGCTTTGGCCATTAGCCACATCTCTCTCATTTGTTAATCCCCGAGGGAGGAAGGGATGAGGAGAGAATAAAGAGAAGGCTGGGTTTGGGAAAGGCTTTTGTGGTATTTACTGATAATCTTTCTTTCTGATAATCTTCCTTTTCTCATAGTTGGCAGCACGTCCTCATCACCGGCTTTATTAGGAATTAGAGAACCCCGCTCTGAATATGATAGAACGCAACCGTCTATGCAGTATTATAATAATCAAGGCGATGTCATTACGCATAAAGACATATATACTGGTAAGATACCAGTTAGGTGAACTTTTAACTGGAATATGTAAATATTCCTTATATGAGGAGTTTATACAATCGTAATATGGACTGTTGCATTAGCAGGCTTGTTACTACTTAATGTTGTTTCCCATTTTTATTCACTATAATCATTGCATGTGGAACAAAGCAGGTTTTTCATCTGTCTCTGCTGTTTTCTTTAAAATTGCACACATTACCAGAATAAGGGAAGATCTGTTTATGTATCGGGGAGATGAGAGGTGTTTGGAATTTTTATTTTCATTTAAAATCCTATTACAGAAAATTGTTTCACTATGCACATTATATATATAATTACTACTACGTTAGAAATAATACTGTGCAGTATATAGTATTATGTTATTAAATTATACAAGATTTATTCTCTTCTTCGATCTCCCTTTTCCTTCTTACTACTTGACACAAGTTGAAAAACAATAGAGATGACAGTGAATAAAGAGAAGGAAATTCCTTGTTTTAAAGGTTATTAGTCTGTAAAACAAAAACCAGCAACACAAAAAAAAGCCTCTTGGTTTCAATTTAACTACTGCTGAGGGACAAAATTTGCCTATATTGTTATATTGTATTATTAGTAGATACTAAAAGCTGCAGACTTAATTGTTTGGGTGCTACATAATTTCTTCTAGGTAAAATAGGAGCAAACAGACTTATAGACGAAAGAATAAAGACGTTTATGCCATAAACTGTTTTCTCACAGGTTCCAGCAAACCTTCACCAATTTACATCAGTTCCTATTCCTCACCAGCAAGAGAACAAAACAGACGACTACAGGTGACTCCAAAATTTTACTTTGAAATGTCACTGATAGCAAGACTCAGCATATAGTGCTTATGGAACTTAAGGGAGTTGCAGTATACTTCGTAATATTTGAGTGCTTTTTTACAGAGTATATCCATAGCATAGGTAATTTGTTATTGGGCATCAGTGCACTTAAACTGATAATTGCTTATGTACTTCTGTTATCTCTGTGTTTTCTTTTTATAGTCGCATATTTTAGCACGTTCTTCTTATGGTGAGATCTGAGACCACTTTCCTGACTTGACTTTTTTTTTTTTTTTGGGGTAGGTACAGTCAGGTTCTGTACTTCCTACTTATGCTGTAAAATTCCTACTTTTGGAGTTACTGTCTTCCCAGTGAATGCAGAAGGAGACATACAGGCAGGCTTAGAGGTTTTTCCTCCGTTTAGTTTCATTTAAAAATTAGGTACATTTCATGGAGGTTTGAAACCTATGTTACTATCATCATTGGTAGAGCTGCACTTAATTTGGTAGGGACAGGTTCTGTATAATGTGTGTAAGTCTGAGAAACAAGTATTTTCTCTGCTAATTAAATTTCGAAAGCTTATTTTTCTATCATTTTGTCAACAGCATCAGCAATTGTACTACAGTCAAGAAGATACCAACAGAAAAAACTATGATGCGTACAGATTATACTTGCAGTCCCCACATAGCTATGAAGATCCATACTTTGATGATCGAGTTCACTTTCCTGCTACTTCAGATTACACAACACAATATGGACTGAAATCAACCACAAATTATGTAGACTTTTATTCCACCAGACGATCCTCTTATAGAGCAGAACAGTACCCAGGTTCACCGGACTCCTGGGTGTAGCATCAAAGAGAAAAAACAACAGTGTATTTCTCATCTTGCTTGAGAAGAAATGGAATGGCCTCATTTGTTGTTTTGGGTATGAAACGTGAAAGTGAAATAAAAGAAGGAACAAGGAAATTTTTTTGTTGTTTTTTTGAGTGAGGAATTGTCAGGAAGAAAACTGGAAAAGATGGGGTTTTGCTCTGTTTAGATGTTAGGTATAATTACTTGTAGCTCCTGTAGTCTGGTGAGGGTGTGGGCGATGTGATGAAAGGTTTGAGAATTGAGTAAAATGAATTTGGAAAGTGTAGGTCAGAGCAAATTAAAGCTGATTTTTTTTTTTTATGTGAATAAAAGTCTTGTTCTGATAGTTTGTACAGAAAAAATAAAATGGATGCCCTTGTTTTCTTGCTATTACTAAATGTCAAGATTGTATGCTATTACGTCTTGTAAATTTCTTTGGTTGGTGTAAATATGGAAATGCCACATTGGTTTAAAGTGCCATCCATTTGTAATGCAGTGTGTCATTTTAAAAGGAATTTGAAACATCATGCACAAAAAAAAATCCAAGAAGATGTTATAAATTTAAAAAAAAAAAACAAACTTTTAAAAATGAATAGTGTAATTTTGAAGCACAAAGTCCAGTCCAGTATATCTACACCTCTCCCATTCCCTGCCTATTTCATAAGAAACTTCACTGCCATTTTCTATGCACATGGAATAACAATAAATATGGACGTCTCATCCATGGAAAGCTGTTCCCTGTTCATTTTTTTTTTTTTAATTTTCTGTGTGTGATATTTGGAAACAAATACCATGAAAATGAAATCTAATTGCATGGTTTTAAGCAGGTTAAATATATCAAAACATTTGGGCCATTTTCCCAGCTTTCTTCAGTGCATATATTCTGAATTTGTGAGGCTGGCAGACCAAAGCGTGAAGCTACGCACTGTCCTCTTGTTATTCCTTAGACCAGTATTTTTACTTTTGATTTGGGCCATCCAAGGTATGTCAGAACTTGAACTCTGTTTTCTTCCCATCGCTCCTCTACTCCTCCCCTTGCTCTCCCCAAGAAAATTATGATGATCTTTCTGTCATAGAAATTATAGTCTCCATTTTGACTACATTCTGCTTGGATTTATTTACAATAAAAATCTTTGATTATTTTGAGTAACTAAATCACATACTTTCCTCATGCCGTAGAGTCTGTTATCTTTATACTGTCTGTTATCGTAATTATTGTTCCCCATCATTGCACTTTTCTTTGGTTTTCAGTGTTTCCAAATATGCTGATTGCATCCGTGAAATGAGAAAAAGTAAGAACTGCTCCAATTTTAGCTTACAAGGCAAATTCACTTTTCCTTAATTGATTGGGCTACTTTGGCCGCCAGACTGTAAAAGGGAAAAGAAATGAAGGGGTGAAGAGCACCGTAAAATAGCGAGTGAGGTCAAACTGCCATACGCAGCCATGCAGTTCCCCGCTGGCTGCAGCGCAACGTGTGTTGCTGAGGGCCAGCGTTGTGCAGATGGTGCCTTTCCTTTCCTAGAAGATGACTTCATTTTTTCTTTTAAGATAGAAAATAGTTTACATTTACTTGCCTTCAAGTTTGTTTCTTGTAACAGTAACTTTGCCACTGATCTTTCATCCTTGTTCCACCTTCAGAGTCACATTCAAGCTTCAGTATGCAGGCTAATGCAGATCAGTGTTGATTACCTGGTATCCTGTAACCTACCAAAGGTGATGAGCTCTTTGAGCCACATACACTTAATTTGGCATTTCATTGTCCCAGGAAGATTTACATTACCTTCAGATAACAAAATAATTGATGGAAAGGGTCATAGTCTGTTATTACTTGCTTCTTTGAATCTGCTAATAACGCTTCAAAAAAGAGGGACAGATGTATGATGGAATGATTTCTGCTTCTCATCTGAGGCAGTTTCATCACGATCAAAACCAGCAAGATTCGGGACAGCACCCCGATGTGGATCTTTCATGCTGTAGAATATATATATAGAGAGAGAGTTCCTTATGTTGGTTTTCTTCTGGTTTTATTGGTCTATTTATGTGGTTTTACACATTATGTCTTGGTGCTATACTGATTAAAATTACCTGTACAGCATATTTGTTGGTTAATTTCCCTTTATGTGTAGTTTCAGACAATGTGTGGAAGTGGGGAAGAAATAGGGCACAAATTCATCTCATTGTTCACTTTCATAGTCCAGTCTGGCTTTTGGGGCTGTTTCAGAATGCCAGGAGCATGAATTTAAGCTGAGTGCTTTTAAAATGTGTTGTATTCACAATTTTGTATTCAGATTGATACCCCACTGAGATAAAAATTGTTAACTTTTTGAGAAAGTGGATGTCCTTAGGAGAAGGTGATGCTAATTTGGAAGTTAAATATTAATGGTACCCTGGGAAATTCAGTGCTTTGTTTCCACCTTTCTAATAATTGTAAATATGGTGAAAGAAAAAAAGGAATTCAGCTTCAAAAGTAGGGAGTTAAATGTAATTCGGATTATAACAGATCGAAGTGGTGTGCAGTGAAACTCAGCAACAGGCTTGTATGTGTCCTTTTGTGTCAGTAACTCCCACAAAGGGTGACTGGAAGTAGCACTGACCTTGGTGAAACAGTTGTGCTCACCAAGTGCCAGAGAAGAATGAGAAACGAGTGCTTAAATGCTTAAAGTAACACATGTCCATGGCTCTCTTGTGAAAAGCCTAAATACAATACGCCTAAAAAGGAGATGAATGCTAACTCAATTAGGTTTGTTATTTAAATAAGCTCAAAAGAATCCTGGCCCCTAAAAAGATACTTTTGTTGTTTTTTGGAGTTTGGTGTTTTGGTTTGGGTTTTGGGTGGGTTTTGGGGTTTTTTGGTGGACTTTACTCCTGCCTGAATGAGAGGTGTCCATTATGAACAAGTTAGCAAGTTAGATACAGTTAACTGGTGATACAGTTACATACAAGAAGGACAAATAAATTTTTTTTCAGGACAGAATTCATGAGATGATTCTGACTCCTGTTAGTTGTCTTGAAGAGTATACGCAAATTGTAGCCAGCTTGTACCTTTCCTCAGATACTGTATGTAACATTTTTAACCACCATGCACTTCATCTGTTCCGCTAGGATTTAGGTTAGTCTGCAGATGGCTTCTGCCCAAGCTGGGTTCACACCGAGTCCCCTGAATCTGAAGTTAAATCGAAGTGCTGCAGTCTTGCACGGCCTTGTAAAATTTCTCCGGTATGCTCAAAGGGAGCAAAATGGAGCAGCTCATCATCGTGTAGCACAAAGATCTAGGGTATATCCTAAAATGCTAATTCTAGACACTTTCGCAGAGGCGTACAGCTGCAGTGAGAACACCAGGCTGTGGCATGACAACACAGCTCTGCGAAGTCAGAACAGGCCCAACGAATATGGATAAACTGCCAAGTGAAATGAAACCTTCACAGCCAAACCCAACTTTGCAGGGTAGCGAGAGAGAGATATTCATGAGACTGGTGGGAGAAGAGATGAGTTCTGCAGAAAAACAAGATTTAGCTATAAGAAGGAGCATTGTGAACACTGGGAGAAGACAAACTCTTCAGCCTACCAGAGCGAAGAGACACTGGCTTAACTGAAGAGAAAACATCCCAGCCAAGGATACTTGTCCTGTGCATTCTGTGTTTGACTTATTGTAAGAAAGACTAATGCTCATAAAAGGTAACAATATAAGCATTAATCAACTTTTAAAAAAACCAAAACTATGGTTTTGTGGCCATGGGTAAATTATTGCAGCTGTCAACAGCAGTAAAGGGCTTAGAAGGAAAGCTGTCGTTTTGAGACCAGCTATGAAATTTCTCGTAGGTAAGGCTGGATAAAAGGGACTGGAGGAATCTTCACACTGCTGTGGCATACAGATGCAAGGATTCATTTCTGGCTATGAGGCAAAAACAAGGCAAGGACTCATTTCTGGCTGCACCATTTGCTTCACTCCATCAGTCCTTGGAACTGGACAGCTATTACTGAAGTTTAAGCCTGTCATGCTATCGTGCACAATGTTGCCTTCCTAACAATGATCACCACCTAGTGAGATGTCAGTCTTGTAGATTTGAAAAGATCCACTAGCCTTCACCAACAAGAAACTAGCCCCTCATCAATAAACCAGAACAGACTAACTAGCCCACAGTGGCACTCCTGTTTTCCAAGCAAACCTCGGTTCTCTGCAGGCCACGATCAAGCTGAATATCAGCATAAGCACAGCAGCATTAGGCCTCCAAAAGCCTAATGTATACAGGCCTAAAAAGACTTCAATGGGAGAAATTGCTATGCATCCTATAAAATGGAAAAAGCAACAAAATTATTTAAAATATACAGTTGTCATAGTGTGTCATAGCCCATTACACTTAATTCAACAAATTACAAATTAAACCTTGGTTAGGCTGACTGTACTAAAATTATACAGAAGAAAAATCCTGTAAATAGGTATTCAGAAACTTTTACATAGTAGCATGATCTCAATTACAGAATCATCCATGAGGGAAAAAATATACGTCAGGTAATTTCTAAGCTGACCCACAGTAAGCCAGGCGAAGGTACTACACCTTTTGAGATCCATGTAAATTGCTGACAAGAGTAGGGTTATTTTTTCTGCGCCTTTTTTCAGGAACAAAGCTCCAGCTCATGTGAACCTTATGCTATAGCCCCTAACATCGTACGTTGCCACATATGGAATTAACAGTTCGTCAGAAAGAAAGCATGGCCTTTATTTTCTACCATCTGATATTTTTTCACTGAATTTACATCTGATGGCAGCTCATGTTTATATAAAGTCAATGAAATATCACTGAGATAGTAACATAATGATAATGGTGATAGGAATAACAATAGCATTCATAAGCTCTGAAAACAAATGCCAAGTTGAACTTTCATTGTGAATTTCTGTGACTAAATTTTGAGCCTCATATTGCACCTCTTTTGATACATCTGGTATTTGTATCTCTTCTCAAAACCTCGGTCAGGTTGTCTCAGTAAGTCTAATAGATGCAGGACCATACAACTAAATGAGAAACTTTAGGTGATTCTTGCAGTTTATTAAGTTTCCAAAGATGAGCTGAAGATCTCTGAAGAATACCATTGGCTTCTGGTTTGACATACTTAC